GAATAGGAGTTATTTATAGTCAATATTGCAAATTAAGTGCCTTGTTAAAGTCATACCTTGGCTTAAAATACCACATTTATACGTCAGAAATTATACTAAATATTTTTACTTTTGTTAAAGTATTATACTGTTATCTCAATCTCGCAAATATACATGTTCCTATATATTATATTAAAAACAAAAACTCAAATCAACTTAATTGTAATGAATATATTTTAAAAACTCAAATCAGTTTATGAAAATTCATCAACATAGGTCATGCATAAGTATGGCCATGCGCTTTGTAATTGATGGGATGTGTTAAGAGCTAATTATTATTTTGGGTTATTATCTAATAGCTTAAGCTTTTGGATCAACTAATAATATCTCTCCCTTGTCAAATCCGTTAAACCTTAAAATTGGATCCACATTTCACGTGAGAGACCATTTAAACTTAAAGATTAATGCAGGGCCTTACCTCATAACATATACACTTTTGAGTCGGCGTGTAACTTAACACGACGTATGGCCATGTTCTCTTTACCAGCTCTTAGGAGACTAGGAGTAGTGAAATTACTTGCCTGAGGCAGGTATCTGAGACTACCTACCCCGCAGGTCCGAGTAATTACTTGGAATCTCAAAGACATTCCTCGAGGTCGTGACGAAAAGTTTTAATAATTTGCCAAGAGTAGGTATCCGGGATTACCTGACACCTTCGGTCTAGATAATTACTTGGAGTCTGGAGGATATTCTCTGGGGCCAGAGATAATGGTCCACGGACCTGACCTGAAAATTACCTCGGTAATATTATGTATTAAATAAAAATATATATAAATACTAAAACAAATTCCTAAAATACTATTAGCCCTATACTTGCCAAGAATACGAAATTCCTATACTTGTCTAAATACTCAGTTCAATAATGTCCCAAATCTATTATTGTATATAAAAGTAGGTACGCTTAAGTCAAGTCACAAGGAAGGAGATTTTTCTTGATAACTTCTCCGACGCTCAACAAAAATTATTTCCAATCAAAAGCACAAAGTGATGATGTGGATTCTCATCCCCAGTGGAGCTCATTTCTGTTGAAAAAAAGAGAGTTTTGAGGAATTATATGATTGTATGTTTCTGTGTGTCGTCAGCCATACAAAGGAGGCCTCTATATATAATGGAGAAGGCCAAAGTTAATAAGGAAATACACTATATGGAAAGATTCTAACCTAGCATAATTATAGGAAATAATCATATATTCTAGGGATATTATAAGATACTAATATATATACTAACATCCCCCCTCAAACTCTTGGTGGCGAAGTCAACTGGAGTTTGGAAACAAGATCACCAAGTCGACCAGGTGGATAGGATTTCGTTAAAATATCAGCAAGATTATCTTCAGAAGAAACTGAATGTAACTGGAGGACACCCTGCTAAAGATGGTGGCGGATGAAGTGACAATCAATCTCAATATGTTCAGTACATTCATGAAATACATCATTATGCGCAATCTAGATGGCACTACGATTATCACAGTGAAAAGGAGAACTTATTGATTGAGGAACACCCATATCTTTCAGAAGCCAGCGTAACCATAAAAGTTCAGATGTCATATCAATAAGAGCACGATACTCAGCCTCAGTGCTGGAACAGGCAACGACAGATTGTTTCTTACTATGCCATGAAATCAAAGAAGTACCAAGTAAGAAACAATAACCAATGGTGGAGCGATGATCAGTAGGATCAGCAGCCCAATCTGCATCAGAATAGGCCTGTAGCTCCAGAGAGGAGTGGAATGAGAAGTGCAGACCATGAAACAGAGTACCCTTCATGTAGCGTAGAATTCGAAGAACCACAGCAAAATGGGTAGATCAAGGTGCACTCATAAACTGACTAACTAGATGAACAACATATGAAATGTCAGGCCTGGTGATAGTAAGATAAATGGGACTACCAACTAACTGTCGATAAAGAGTTGCATTTGCAAGTGGAGAACCGTCAGTGGCCAGAAGCTTAGTATTATTCTCAAGTGGACTAGTGGCTATCTTGCTATCTATCAACCTAGCTTTGGAAAGTAAATCAAAGGCATATTTTGCTTGAGTGAGATAATAACCATCCTGATTTGAGGTAACTTCAAGGCCAATAAAGTAGTTAAGATGTCCCAAATCCTTCATCTCAAAATTCTGACTAAGAAAAGTTTGAAGATCTCGAATACCAGCAATATCATCACCAATAATAATCATATCCTCTACATAGAGAATAAGAAGGGTAGTACCTACCCCAGTAGTGCGAAGAAAGAGTGCATAATCATATGGGCTAGAAAGAAAGTCTTGTTGAGAAACCACTTACTGAAATTTCTCAAACCAAGCTCGAGGAGCCTGTTTGAGCCCATAATGTGTGCGACGAAGACGATAAACTTTATGTGGAGGATGCTCATAGCCAGGTGGAGGCTACATGTAAACTTCTTCAGTAAGATCTCCATTAAGGAAGGCATTTTTAACATCCATTTGAAAAAGTTCCCAATGTTGGATAGCAGCAACTACAAGTAAAGATTTGACAAAGGTAACTCTAGCAACAAGAGCAAAAGTCTCCTCATAGTCAATCCTGTACTCCTGGGTGAACCCCTTAGCAAAAAGTCGAGCCTTGTAGCGATCAACTGATCCATCTGCTGGAGTCTTGATTTTATAAATCCACTTGCATCCCACTGCAGCTTTACCATGAGGCAAGTCCACCAGATCCCAAGTATGTGTTTTGACAAGAGCATTCAATTCATCAGACATAGCTTGTTGCCAAAAAGGGTCAGTACGAGCCTCACGATAATTGTGAGGTTCGTGAAGGGTGGCAAAGACAGAGAAATAGTGACAATCACAAAGATGAGTAGGAGACTGGAACGACAAGGTTCAGGGAGTGGAGAAGACTGAGGAATGGGTGGTGTGGCAGGTGGTCCATCAAATGCATCAACTGGATTTGGTGCAACAGTGGAAGAACTGTCTGATGATCTCAGAATCTCTACAGAAGAGTCAAAAAATAGAGCAATAAAGGGATCAGTGAATATGAGTGAGTGGTTAGAGGAGGAAGGGGAGAACGTGGATATGCTAGTTAATGGTTTGTGTTCCCAAAACTCCACATGACAAGAGACTCAAAGACATTTGGATATAGGATCATAACAACGATAACCTTTTTGAGTTAAGCCATAACCGAGAAAACAGCATAACCGAGAACGGGGTTCAAGTTGGGTCTGTTCATGAGGAGGAAGAGTAACAAAACAGGCACAATCAAAGACATGAAGTAAGGAATAGTTAGGAACCATACAATGGAGAAGCTCATAAGAAGATTTGTTGTGAAGTATAGGTGAGGGTACCTGATTGATTGTGTACACAACAGTAAGAGTAGCTTCACCCCAAAACTTTTCAGGTAAAGAAGCAGAAAGTAAAAGAGCTTTAACAGTATCAAGGATATGATGATGTTTTCGTTCGGCACGACCATTTTGTTAAGAGGTATAGGGACAAGATCGATGTGATAGTGTGCCTTCACTACAACAAAAATGGCCTACGGTAACATGCAAAAAGTGTTACCATAGGTAATTCGTAGCATTTATAAGGATGATATGACAACCCGTGTTACTAAAAAGTAGACATTGGTAACACTTTTTGTATGTTACTAATCATTTCAGTAACTTTCATAAAATGCTGTTGTTAAGTATATTGTAGCACTTATTCGTAGTAACAAATGATTTTTGGTAACATTGGATAAATGCTATAAATAAGTTTTCTGTAACAGTCTTAACCTGTTACAGTTTAATTTTCTGTAAAATTCTTAAAATGCTATAAATAAGTTTTCTGTAACATTCTTAACCTATTACGGTTTAGTTTTCTGTAACNACCATGAGGCAAGTCCACCAGATCCCAAGTATGTGTTTTGACAAGAGCATTCAATTCATTAGACATAACTTGCTACCAAAGAGGGTCAGTACGAGCCTCACGATAATTGTGAGGTTTGTGGAGGGTGATAAGGATAGAGAAACAGTGATAATCATGAAGATGAGTAGGAGGAACACTTATCCCACTGGAACAACAAGGTTCAGGGAGTGGAGAAGATTGAGGAATGGGTGGTGTGGCAGGTGGTCCATCAAATGCATCAACTGGATTGGGCACAATAGTGGAAGAACTGTCTAAGGAGCTCGGAATCTCTACAGAAGAGTAAGAAAATAGAGCAATAGAGAGATCAGTGAATATGAGTGAGTGGTTAAAGGAGGAAGGGGAGAACGTGGATATGCTAGTAAATGGTTTGTGTTCCCAGAATTCCACATGACGAGAGACTCGAAGACGTTTGGAGAGAGGATCATAACAACGATAACCTTTTTTAGCTAAGCCATAACCAAGAAAACAGCATAACCGAGAACGGGGTTCAAGTTTGGTCCATTCATGAGGAGGAAGAGTAACAAAACAGGCACAACCAAAGACATGAAGTAAGGAATAGTTAGGAACCATACCATAGAGAAGCTCATAAGGAGATTTGTTATGATGTATAGGTGAGGGTACCCGATCGATTGTGTACACATCAGTAAAAGCAGCTTCACCCCAAAACTTTTCAGGTAAAGAAGTAGAAAGTAAAAGAGCTCTTACAGTATCAAGGATATGACGATGTTTTCTATCGGCACGACCATTTTGTTGAGAGGTATAGGGACAAAAGCGATGTGACAGTGTGCCTTGTTGATTTAAGAACTCAAAGAGAGTTTTGTCATTATATTTCATGGCACTATCTGAACGAAAAACTTGAATGGTACGAGAAAATTGAGTTTGTACCATTTTGTGAAAAGTTTAGTAAACACGAACAAGCTCAAATCAATGCTGTAACAAGTATAGCCATGTATAACGAGAATAGTCATCAACAAAGATAACAAAATAACAAGATCCCCCCTCAGTAGGAGTGGGTGCAGGACCCCAAATATCAGAGTGAATCAAATCAAAAGGTGTAGTCGAAAAAGAGTAACTTATATTAAAAGATAAATGAGTTTGTTTGCCAAGTTAATAGGAAGCATAATCAAATGACTCAAAACCTATAGAACCTAGGTGACCTTGGGAGGCCAAAAGACAAACACGAGGTATAGAGGCATGACCTAGCTGAGAATGCCATAATTGGGAAAAGATGGCAGGAGCAACAATGGAGCGAGACAGATGGGATGGAAGCTGCAAAGAAGTGAGCTCGAACAGACGTCCAATCTTACGACCTATCCCAATGAGTTGACCCGTCTGTGGATCCTACACATCAACACCAGCATTAGAAAAGGTAAGCTGAAGACCTAATTCACAAAGTTGACCAACTAAAAGGAGATTTAAGGATAACTTGGGAACTTAACAAATAAGGTAGGGAAGGAAATAGACCCAATTTGACTAATAGATAAATGAGAACCATCAGCAGTATATATGATAGGATTGGGTGACAAAGTAGATTTTTGTGAAAAAATGGTGGAATCAGAGGTCATGTGATTACAACATGCAGAATCAAAAAACTAAAGAGATGTACCTAAGACGACAGACAAAGCACTAGAAGATCCGGATAAAACCTGATGAATTAATGTCTCAATGTCAATAGTAGTGAGAGTAATGGACACTGAAGAAGGCTCAGCAGCAAAAGGGGCAATTGGAGCCACGACAGCAACTTGCAACAAGGGGGCCCGAGACTGATTTTTGTTTTGCAATTTTTGACATTCTGTAACAGAGTGACTTGGATGTTTGCAGTATTTGTAGAAGACAATCTTTGAGGACTGAGAAGGGAAATGACCCGAGGCTGGAGAAGATCCAAAGATAGTCTGAGGGATGGCAGCAACAACTGAATCTGGAGTTTGCATCTTCATGGTTGAATGATGATTTTCTTCGAAAATAAGTTCAGCAACTGCAGTCTCAAGAGTGGGAAGAGGTGTGCGATGCAAAAGAGAGGCCCGAGTAGATTCAAAATCCTCACAAAGTGGCATCATAAAATGCATAAACTTACGACGATCACGATGGGTTGCAAACAACGCAATGTCATTAGAACATTTGAGTTGAGGATCTGCAGCAGAAAACTATTCCAAAGATTATCAACTTGAGAATAGAAATCAGCAATGGACTGACCTGATTCCTAACACATCTGATAAAGCTTAGTCTCAAGCTGGAGCTGCAACGAAGCATCATGAGTGCAGTTGTATCGTTTAGCAAGAAAATCCCAAGCAGGTTGAGCATTACCAAGCTTGGGAAGCAGGCTATGGATGGATGGAACATAAGTATTGATAAACCAAGACAATATTTTATAATGAATACTATGCCAATCTTCAAGCTGACATGCAAACTTATCAAGACTCTCATCATCTAGCTACTTGGGGCCAAGAATATCACTAGAAACATAACACCATAATTTTTGTCCTCTAAGAAATACTTCCATATTTTGAGCCCACATATTATAATTTGAGCCATCTAAAATGTTATCAATAGGACGAACAATGGTATCAAGGTCGGGAGAGGAGTGAGACATACTATTTTTTTTTTTTCCGGTGGTCAACAGTCAACAAGTCAACAGGTGGACTTGGGCTAGAATTTGAACCGAATGGGTTGATTTATAGGAGAAAGAAAAATGGGCTGGGAAGGCTTACTTGGATTGGGCTTGAAGTTGGGCTTGAAGTTGGCTATAATAGGCTTGATATTTCTACTAGAGATGTGTGGCGCGTGGTCAGACATATAGAATATTCAGGAGGCACGTGCGGAAGCGTATTGGGAAAATCTTGCCACAGAAACACCGATAAAATTCTCAAGACTCTATTTATGATCATATTTGATTTAAAAAAAAAAAGGGAACAAAAATCGGATGTAAAACCAAAAAAAAATCCCACTGTCAGTGTAGGGAAAGCCAAGGTTGGTGCGGAAGAAACACCAATGAAACGGCTTGCATGGACAGGAAGATCAGAGTAGTGACTCTGATACCATGTTGAAATAAAGAGAGTTTTGAGGAATCATATGATTTTGTATTTTTGTGTATCGTAAACTATATAAAGGATGCCTCTATATATAGTGGAGAAGGCTAAAGTTAATAAGGAAATACACTATATGGAAAGATTCTAACCTAGCATAATTACAGGAAATTATAGCATAATTCCGGGAATAATCATATATTCTAGGGATATTATAAGATACTAATATATATACTAACATATAGAAATTAGAAACATAAGAGCTTTTCAATTTCTGTTGAAATTAGCAAATTGTGGTTCAAGACTTCAAGCATTGGGATTATAATATGTTGTAAAAAAACAAAAACTACCCATGTCTCCTCTGAAAATTGTGATATAATGTTGTTTGCACCCTGTTGACCTCTGAATTTCCTTGTATCATCGAGGAAACTATCCACTGTTATTGAAGCCCCTTTAGAAAATGGTAAAAAAGAAGTCAAGAAGGATGTGAACGTTTCGAAGAAGAATTAATATGTGGTGTCTAAAATATGCCTACTACGTTTAAAATTTCTCAAAATTATGAAAATGCAAATTCATTATTTCAGAATCTCTCTTTGCTTTTCTCTTTGTCTAAAAATGATTAAAATCTTTTTCTATCGAGTTTCTATCCCTTGTCTGGCTATGTTGTTCTATCAACTTATGTGTATATGTTGAAAAGATTTTTGGGCTTGGCAAAAATTTAGGTCTGACTGTAAACTCTTAATAATTTAGCATAAGGATGAAATATCTTTGGCTTGGCTAACACACTCAAGCCGTGGTTTTTCATTATATTTATATCTATTCATTTGAGCTGTCATGCGTATAATAAGAAAATCAATCTAATTCAAAATGAGGAAACAATCATATACAGATTTGTAGGAGAAGGTTACGCCAACAGCTGGATCATTTTGAATTAGTAACAGAATGGATGGCATGAAGACTGGGTGCAGATGCTCCTGGATTTTCTACTGAATTCTGAAGATGTTGATAGTCTAACACCCCCCCTCGAATTAATGGGATTTTGACAGACCATTAATTTGCTCTTTAGATACTGAAAACGTTGTGCAGTTTGGCCTTTGGTGAAGACATCCGTTATTTGATCCACGGTTGAGACATGTTGGACTTTAATATCATTGTTGCAAACTTTGTCCCAAATAAACTGATAGTCAACTTCTATGTGCTTCGTTCATGCATGGAACACCGGATTTGAAGTGAGTGCAATTTCCCCAATGTTATTGCACCATATAGTTGGTGTGTGAACTAGACCAATAGCCAATTCTTTGAAAAGCATTCTGAGCCCGTATACTTCAGTTGTAGCAAGTGCCATTGATCTGTACTCCGCTTCGGTACTCGAACGAGAGACCACGTTTTGTTTCTTGGAGCTCCAAGAAACCAAGTTTCTACCCAGAAAAACGCCATAGCCGCTAGTAGACCTTCTGTCGTCTAGATTGCCTGCCCAATCCGAGTCGCAGTAGGTATGTAAGTGTAGAGGAGATGGTGTGTGGAACAGTCCATGATTTACAGTGCCCTTTAAGTAGCGAAGAACTCGCTTTATAGCCTGCCAGTGTGGAGTTCTTGGCTGGTGCATATGTTGACATATCTGGACATGTTATTGTGCAGTATTGTAGTGCCCCAATGATGTGTCGATAAGGAGAAGGATCATATATTAAGCCTCCTTCTGTACTAGATAGTTTGGCACTGGCCACCGTAGGCGATGCAAGTGGCTTGGCACCAACCATTTGAGTCCGGTCTAAGAGATCACAAATATACTTGGTTTGACATAAATGTAGTCCTTGTGAGCTCCTATCAGCCTCCACACCTAATCCACACCTAAAAAATAACACAGAGAACCAAGATCCTTGACATGAAAAATACTCTGCAGATGTCGAATGAGTTTGGTACTTTCTGAGACATCAGATCCTGTCACCAAAACGTCATCTACATATATTAAGACAAAGTTTCTGACATCATCAGTATGTAGAGTAAACAAAGAGTAGCCATTAACAGATTCTTGAAAACCAAGCTCAATAAGTTGCTGTGATAATCTGCGAAACCAAGCTCCAAGGGCTTATTTAAGACCATAAAGAGACTTGTGCAATTTGCAAACATAGTTTGGGTTGGTTTCATCAACAAAACCTCTTGGTTGTTCCATAAACACCTCTTCATCTAGAAACCCATGTAGAAATGCATTCGACACATCCAATTGTCGGATGGGCCAATGAAAATGAACTGCAATAGCCAAAACTAGTCGAATAGTAGTTGGCTTAATCACTGGTGAAAAAGTTTCATGATAGTCCATACCATTCTTTTGATCATACCTTTTGGCCACTAGTCTAGCCTTATAACGTTCAATACTGCCATCTGGTCTCCTCTTAATTTTGTGTACCCATTTGTTCCTGACAATGTGTTTATTAAGTGGGTGAGGGCATAGAGACCACGTCCCATTTTCCATCAACGCATCAAATTCCCTTCCCATTGCAGCACGCCATTGTGGATCGAAACTACTTGAGTGTAGGATGTTGGTTCAAGAGTATCCAAGACTGCAGAAAAAGCTTGCAAAGGATGTCGGGTATTGTAGAATAATTTGTAATCAGGAAATGATTTTGGTTGAGAGTGACCAGTTTTGGAACGGGTTTGAATTTGAGTGGAGGTAGGCTAAACACTTTGATTGTTGGAGGTATTATTGGGTTCTAGCTGTATCGGTGGAGAAGGAGATATTGGTGGAATGACAATTTCTGGTTCAATGGGATTCTCAAAATTTAAAATGGGAGGAGGATGAGAATAATCATTGGATGCAGGGGGTGGAGATTGTTGGGTAGAGTTGGATGCCGCAAGAATTGGCATTTGAACTGAAGGGGGAGAGGGATCATTTGGAGATAGCATATCTGCAAGAATGTTAGATAATAAGTTGCTAGATAAAACTGAACTAGGACTTATCAGTGGGTCACCTGCAGGAGGATTTGTTCTTCGAGATGTGGTGGACTCGGCTAGTTCCTTAGTTGGGAAAGATTTCTCATCAAAGATGACATGTTGTGAGATGTATTACCGTTTAGTGGCTAAGTCAAGACACCTATATCGTTTTTGACAGTTGGAATAGCCTAGGAAGAGACACTTTTTACTTCGAAATACCAGTTTATGGTCATTATATGGTCGAAGGAGTGGATAGCAAGCGCATCCAAAAACATGTAAGAACTCATAAGTTGGCTCAGTTTTATGAAATAAAAAGTAAGGTGTCATATTACCTAAGACTTGGGTAGGCAACCGGTTTATTAAAAACACTGAAGTAAGGAAAGCATCAACCCAATATTGGGGGGACAAACTTGATTGAGCTAAAAGTGTTAGTCCCATTTCTTAGATGTGTCTATGTTTCCGCTCGGCAATTCCATTTTGTTGAGAAGTGTGTGGGCAATTCAACCTATGAAATATTCCTTGCGCAGTCAGAAAATTTTTAAATTGGTTGGAAGTAAACTCTCCACCGTTATCTGTTTGTATTTGCTTGATGGATGTGGAGCAAAAATTTTCTGCAATGGTTTTAAATTTAACAAAAGTTGCAAACACATCAGATTTTCTGTGCAAAGGATATAGCTAGGAATATCTCGAATAATCATCAATAAATAAAACATAGTAGGAACAACCACCAGTTGATCGTACAGGGGAAACCCATACATCAGAGTGGATTAATGCAAGAGGAACAGAAGACTGACGACTAGACTCTGGGAAAGGTAGTTGCTTAGCTTTGCCAAGTTGACAAGTGGAGCAAAACTCTAATTTATTTGAAGGACCTTTGACAGAAAGTTTATTTAAATGAAACAAAAGTTCTAAAATCACACTAGGGGGATGTCCTAGTCTTGAGTGCTAAGTGTCTGCATGACCTCGAACCCCTATTGTTGCTGAAAGACATGTGGGGTTCTTATGAGAAGTTTTGCACCCAGCTAGTGGATATAAGCCGTTTTCAACCACACCTTGAAGTAGTGTTTTGCCTATCAGGTTCTCCTTCACAATAAAATCATTAGCAATTAAGATAAAGTAACAATTATTATCTAAACAAAATTGATTGATAGAGATAAGATTGGAAGTTGCTTGTGGGCAATGGATAATTTTATTTAGATGAAAATGGGATTAGCTGAAGTTAAAGGTGGTAGAACCAGTAGTTAGAACTTGCAAACCTGAACCATTTCCGACAGTTACAGTTTCTGATGCATGAAAGGGTTG